CTATCTCTTTTACTGATAATAACTGGACCATTTCTTTGCCACACCCTCTGACACTAGTTCAGATGTAACTGTATTTATCACAGTAAAAGAGCTGCTCAATACATCTTTACATACATTTGCAAAACTTGTGTCAAGATTATGACCCTTCTATTGATGTACTTCTATGTCTGTGTTTCTATCTCTGATCATTCTTTATAACGAGTTTTGTTCCATAATAACTAGTAGGCTAACTAATGACTAAAGTTTTGCACTGTAGTGCTTTTACTTAAAGGTGGGGTATGTAATTTATTTCAGAAACACTTTTTGTTATATTCCATGGAATGCTGGAAAGGGGCGGATTTTTTCCGGTTGTGTAATTTCAAATTCTAGCGCACTCGAGCTGGTTTCTCCAAAATTACATACCTCACCTTTAAAGATAGGGTGGAAAAGCCAGTAGGAGTAAGCGAGACCAGTCGTTTATCTCATGTTTTTGAAGGAGCTAAAACTGAGCATATTCTGTCAGCTCAGATTTTATTTCTGCTTTTTTTCTGCTTGTGCTCGTGTTTTTCATTGATTGTGTATAGGCTACTGCCTGAATATGCTGAATGAAAGGCAGGTTTTCCTATCAATAACATCTCTGAGCAGAGGACCGGTGGTTAATAACACAAAGCCCCGGTGACGCGCAGTGCACGAGCAGTAGACGTCACTTCAGTTATGTTAAACAGATGTTTGTGTGAAGCATTCGATGTATTGTTTGTTGTCCGGATTTAAAGAGCATTGTAACGCATAGCCCATTTAACAAAAATGTGGACTATGCTGATTATATATGGTACTATGCAAACACATACATTTATAAACACATAAAGATATGCATACCTCCGGGATCTGCAGGTGGAATCTGGTGGGACTAACGCGAAGCAGGTCGCCGAGGAACGGGAGAGCCCATGGTCCGGGGGGGGAAGTTCGCCGGGGCTCTGTTCTTCAGAACGTCCGCCATCAACAGGAAGACAAAGAGGAATATCAACACACTCTGACAGTCCACACACTCCCAGCCGAGCACACTGCGAACAGCCTCCATCCTTCAGCTCTGTTCGGAGGGCTGAGAGCTGCTCTGTTTTACTCTGTCAAACAACTTGTTGTACAACTTATCGACTAATCAAAGCTCAGAGGGAAGTGGGCGGGGTGACTCACCTTCAAAATAAAAGTCTGAGTTCACTTCAGTACACTACTCAGATTACCGAAGATATATGTAATACTAATAATAACGTGTTATGATGGTACCTGTCTCCAAAAAGTCGATACAGTTAAATACTTGGGTCTATGGCTTGACTCTGAGCTCACATATAGACCCCGTATTGAATACATGCTGCAAAAAGATGATCTAGTTTGTTACTACGTCCAAAAAACTGCTTCATCACACCCACTGTCACCCACTGTGACTGTACTTCTACTCCACTACATGTATTTAGTTACTTTACAGACATGGGTTAATGATGTGAAATATAACCAAGTCTTAAATCAGACTTTAGTTCCACCTGGAGTAAATTCACAAGCTACCCTGCAGTATACAAAGTCATTCAAACTAGCTGCACCTTTACCAGCTTTGAGAACACTTTAATGATCAATCATTATAAAACATATCATATATATTATTCTGAAATGGGCCAATGTGCACAATGACTACTTTTACTTTTGGTACTTTAAGTATAGGCTATATGTTGATGCTAATACTTTATTACTTTTACTTGAGACACATTTGAATTGCAGGACTTTTACTTACAACACAGTATTCACTCTGGTACTTCTACCTTTACTTAAGTACAAGATCTGAGTACTTCTTCCCCCTCTGCTCTTAAAGTACTCCTTATGCATTAGTAATGTCTAAGAATTTACTTAAATGTTACGGCAAGAAAAAAGGTAGGGCAAGTTGTGTAAATGTATACAACTAAAGAAATATTTTATAATATATATTTAAAAAGTATTAATTGCGTTATTATGATGCAAAGTGATGGTAAGGGGCTTGGAAAAGCATTATGTTGCTAAGGCTCCCCACACTGTAAGTAAAATCATGATGTGGAGTTGACATGTCACTCCTATCTTTATTACTGATAATAACTGACCCATTGTATTGCCCCACCCTCTGATACTAGGTCAGATGTAACTGTATTTTAATACTGTAAATAGAGTTCTGCTTAATACAACTTTTACATACAGTACACTTGCATTACTGTATCGGTAAATAATGTGCCTTAAAAAAAAATGTTCAACCATACTTTGTCCATGCACATGCCTTCAGACGACCAGCTGACAAGTTCAAGCTCCAGCTTGTTTTTCACCTCAGAGGCAAACAGTGTTACATAAGATTACTGCCATGCCTTTGTTCCCATAGCCTAATATGACCTGCAGCCAAATAACCTGAGACCACCTCAGATGTTGCAGACGGTCTGTTAAAATATATTTACCATTACTTTGTAAGCACTTTTTGAGACGTTTGGTCCGTTTTATATTAATCCTGACAATATCAGAGACTGGAGTCCACATATTCTTCCACCTGGAAACTGTGAAGCAGCTCACTCAGGAGTACGGTCCAGTTTTCAGCTTGGGGGGAGGCAGCGAGAGGATGGTGTGTATTTCAGGAGAGAATATGGTCACAGAGGCTCTTGTTAAAAGTAACAGCTTTGTTGTCCCTAAAATGTCTTTCCTAAATGAAGCAACTTCTTCAGGGCAAAACTAAATCCCTGCATAATGTGTTCAAGATCGATACAGTGCTAATATTATGGCGTCCAGTGATAAACCCATTTGTTAATAATTTGCTAACACATTCCCACAGGCATAGCAAAGGTGTCCTGTGGAAAATAGTAGTAGTTTGTCATCACTAATTTTGCCGAAGGGCAGATATATGTCAACAAATCCGGCCAAAAGTTTAGATTCTTTGACAAATAAAGTTAATCTGAAAGTTCAAGTTTTGATCCTGAATTTTGTCAAATAAAATGATGTATTCAAACAAAAAACAAGTGTATGAAAAGTTGTTTTCAGATTGAATATAATATTGATTCAGTTTTGTAATTCAACATGACTGAGTAAGGGCCTCGGTCTACATATTTTGCCGTCAATGATGATTCCAAGCCCCTCTCAGTTAAGGCCCCCCCACTCAACATTAGGGCCAAAAGTCTGAAAACAAAAACATATGATTTGAAAGTGAGAAAAAAAAAGTTCTGAATCTGAAAGCATAAAATCTGAAACTGAAATATCAAAATACTAATGAAAGTGAAATGTGAAAATAATTAATTTATTCAAAAGAATAACTCAATTATATCAAAAATAATATTCAACCTGAAGAAACTTTTTATACATATATCTTTAGTTTGAATACATCATTGTTTAAAAAAAAAAGTGGAATAAAAAACCGTTGGATTAAATGACATAATAATCAGCCATTGTTTTTTATTTCAATGCTACGAAGGCCCCTTTAGTTTAAGAGCTTTATGGCCAACATGCCAACTGCCAAAGGGCTTCATCTCGTGCACACACACACACACACACACACACACACACACACACACACACACACACACACACACACACACACACACACACACACACACCACACACACACACACACACACACGCACACACACACGCACACACACACACACATATTCCAGGCAGGCCCAATCCAATCTCCTATATGACTTCCTGGTAGGATTCCAGATTTGTTATTACTTATCCAGCCGGGACATTATGTATGATGTTGTGTGTGTGTGTGTGTGTGTGTGTTTGCGTGCGTGTGTGTGTGTGTGTGTGTGTGTGTGTGTGTGTGTGTGTGTTTGCGTGCGTGCATGCGTGTTTGTGTGTGTGTGTGTGTGTGTGTGTGTATGTGTGTGTGTGTGCGAGGTCTCAGTCCATATAATCTTGCACACTGCACAACCCATCAGCCTTATATTTTTTGTGTTTATCCCTTTGTGTTCATTCATGCAGGGGATTCACAAGTTTTAATACCACTTTATACCATCATTGACTGCTGACTCCTCATTACTCTTAACCGGCCAGTACAGTGGGCTTGTTTAGTTTTGAGTGTTTGTAGCTCTGTAGTTTGGCTATCAGAGCTAAAATCTATTGGTGAGCTATAACTGAGTATGCCGGTTGTAGGCCTATTGGTAAATGGACTGTACAGCTCTTTATCAGGTCTGTACGACCCCTCGAAGCGCTTTACATACGAGTCATTCACGCGTTCACACCTCATTCATACAGAGCAGTTCCACTTGCTCTGGGAAGCTAACATTAATACACATTCACCATTCACCATGTTAAGTATCTGGACCAAGGATACATCGACATGTTGACAGCACGGGCTGGGATGGAACCCACAACAGTTGCCTTTTCTTACCAAATAAGTTGTAATTACTCAACATTTTGATGCTGTTTTTTTTAATGCCACTAACAACTATAGATGATAATAAAAAGTAAAGAAAAAACAGGAGGTAGTTACAATCAGTGTGGTACTAAAATATGTTTTCAGTATGGTTACAGGTCAGGTCAGTGACCCGGATTCAGACTTTGCACTACTGTAGTTGTTTTGGAAATTGTGTGTGTGTGTATGTGTGTGTGTTAATAAGAAGCTTGGTAGCCCCTGCTGTCAGTTTAATCTCCCCTTTGTGTTGCTGTGGCCAGACCCATATGGACTCACGCACGCACGCACGCACGCACCCACACACACACACACACACACGCACACACACACACAAGCATACGTTAGTGTGTCAGTGTGCCACCACAGGAGAGGATTAAAACCTCATGTCAGAGACAGTTTATGAGGCAACCATGCTTAGAAACAATAACATATTACCATGGCATTATTATCTATTGCATTCAGTCAACAAGCCTTTGCCGGGTGTTGCTGTGCTGGTGAATTAATTTAATCACGATTAAGTGCAATCATGACGTTTACTGTAAAGGAGGGGCGGGCGTGGCTGGAGAAGCAATAGAAAACAATTTCAGCTTGATTGACACCACATTCGTCCAATCAGTGATGTTTTTATTGGGACAATTCTGTCGTTGGACCCTGGCATTAGAGTTTTGTAGTAACCTTTCTGACAAATATGTCGGCCTCTGGGAATCTCTTGGCCACCAATATTATGGATATATGAGAAGAACACAATTGTTTAGGAACAACTTCCGTGTTGGTGGAGTGGCCTGCAGACAGATGCTAGCTATTTTAAAGAAGTTAAGGAACCAGGCAGCTTGCAGCCCTAACGCTAGCTCACAGTTGTTACCGCAGAGCTAGCTGTGTATTAAATAACATTAGGCATAGTGCGAGGTAGCCACACATTTAAGGTATTAGCTTGACGCTGGGAAAGCTTATTTAGCGCGCACAGCTAGACTCGTTGCGGTACAGCTGGCTGGCACCGCTGAAGGAGTCGTACCGATGTTATGGATGTAACGTTAAGAAGCTGTCTCAATTTATTTTAATCCCAGGAGGAACTAACACCGCCATGACTGACACATCCCATTCACCGTGCCTGGACCCAGAACAGCTGTGAAGCCCTCACAGGTGAGTTGAAGTGTTAGCCTGCTGCTAGCCAGGGCTAACCAGTGTTAGCTGAAGGATAGCTAATGTTCCATGTACAGGTAGCGAATACAGTATACTTAGCCTTACCTTTCACACTTACGGCCTAAACCACGAATCGTATTTAATGTGTTGTAGCTAATATATAGGTATTATGTTATACATCTCGTCTGTATCCTGGTGTTTCATTCCCATCCCCGTGCTTGTTACCGTTAACCCCAGTTATCTCCACCCTCTTTTAATCACAATGGCCTCGCTAACGTTACAGTTATCTTTCTAATATAAACTAGCTCACGTTACAGTTAACATTTAGCTGCATAATTGCAACTTAAATGTGCTTCTCATGCCAGGACTGTAACGTTATTATCATCCGCAATATGTGTCCCCACCCCGGCTTCGAGATCACCCACTCTCCAGTGTGGGTTGGATGTCTTTCTAAGAACACAACGCTATGCCAAATTATTGATGTGAGATTTGCCTGGGTGTTTTGAAGATCGGCAATCAAACCGAGGGGCCGCTGCAAGATTATATACATCCACGCCAATTTCTAGATTTTATCCCACAATATCGAAGAAATGCTTTATAAAATGTCTCGTTAAATTATCACTTGCTAATCCTCATTATCACACTACACATCTGTCAATTACAATTGTCAATGTAGTTTGGCGTGCTGTTTCGTTTTAAAAGTGAATGGCACGTCTTGGCCGGGCTCTATGGTGTCCACTGAGCTGTCAAACCGTGTGAAGCAGTCAGTGCGTGTCACCGCTCAGCTGTGTCGATGGAGCCTCCTCTGCATGCATCTGAGAGGTTAGCAAGCTGAGCGATTCCACTCAAACCAGCTCTGCAAAATGTCCCTTATACGTCAATCTAAAATTGGAGACTTATTGTCTCGAGATAAGGATGTTGGCATCATTTGTCCGATTGGGTTAATCTACCAATGCTCCAACCTCCAACCTCCTGTGCTGCCGAGCCTGCTGCGGGGAGCGCGCACACACACACACACACACACACACACACACACACACACACACACACACACACACACACACACACACACACACACACACACACACACACACACACACACACACACACCCTGGATTTCTGTGTGCATGTGCTGTCAAGCTGGAGGATGCTTTTAGATGTAAGAGGGTGTCTGGGGATGTAATAGCATTAACAGCATTGTAGAATAGTGGTTCTGCCTGATGGTCAGCTTTGAACAGATCACATGTAAATGATTCATAGGTGATTAAAGGCATAACTAACTCAATGCTTAATGAGCTTGATGAAATGCAGCTGTGCATGTTAAGAATTCCTCTACAAAATACATTTTAGAAAATTGAGAGCACTCAATAAGGTTAGTGTGTGAAAAGCAATTGTGCTCTAAATGTCACCATAGGTTCAATACATTATAACTGTATAATAACATTGGAACTCTGCAGTGTGCAACTTACCTTTTTAATTTATTGAAGATACAATGATAGGTTTCTGTAACGCTATAAAGCAGATGTAGCATATCCTTTTTGCACAGTCCAGGATTTGGCATCATGCCACTTGGACGTACCTGGTTCATTTGACAGAGTTAGAAACGTTGATTTCTGCCATGAAATGTCTACATGTCTATATGCATGAACATGTGGCAGCCTGCCAAGTGCATAGATATATTGGGTAACATACAAGAAGCGCTATGCTATCTTGTATTCCTGCTTGTTTGCATGGCAGTGTGCATGTGTGCAATCAGCCCATGTCATCTCAGAATGTGTGGATGCATTGTGCACAAACCTGTCTGTGGCATAATGGTGTTGTTAACTTGTGCTTATGTGCTACCGACTCATTCATCGGAAACATTCCATTTTATAGAACCCTCACTGAAAAGTGGATCATAACATCCACAACGTGATTTTTCTGCAGATGGTCCACAGGTACCGCCCGAATGCAGCCCAACATTAGTGATGCATACCGTAGCATCGGGTATGACTTTATGCTCGTTCCACATGCCCCGTAGCTTATGCACATCTAGCTTTTTTGTTGACAAGAAGAAGACAAAGAAAACAATTGAATGATTGTTTTGGACCGTGGTTGTGTGAAAAGAGTCACAGTCACCATTGCTCACCAACATAATTCCTCTTTAACGGAATACAAAAACAGCAACCTTGCATTAAACTCCTTTAAAACAACGAAACTTCAAGTAGAAGATCAGTATGTGGATAATAGTAATAACATCAAGGAGGTCAGTTAATGCACTGTTATAAAGCAGGTTTTTGATCACATTGTAGGTTAAACTACCTAATGTATAACATATTTGATGTTTAGACTGACAGGCTGAGGTACATGTTGTCTTTTATGACCAACTTCCTGTAATTTGGACTATATAAAAAGGCCAGAATGATGAGATGAGATAATGGGGAGCATCGCTCTTGTTATCTCCGCTCTTCAAACATCCTTAATGCTGATGAATGGGGCCGCAGTAATGGATAAGGAGAAGTAGGACGGGTCCATCTGTCACGCCTGGCCTGAGAAGATGCACTACTTCGCTTATTGATTTAAGGGTGAAAGTCTGGAGTCCATAAAGGGAACAACTGTGTGACTTTCTCTCTCTGCTTGTCTCTGTACCTGCTAACAGCCTTTACTGTTGAAGCTGCTGAGCTGTGCGTGCCCTGTGATGAACCAATGACAGGGAGGCAGGCAGGTAGTAGCTCTGCTGAGCTGTGCGTGCCATGAGGCCGTTTTTAAATGCCAGAGCAGTGATCCTTACTAGTGTTTATTCCTCCGGGTCGTCTTAATCAACCTCTGATAGCTACTGGCTATGAATGATTGTTTTGGAGAGTGGTTGTGTGAAAAGAATCACAGTCACTCTGTCCAAGTAAAACGGAAAAAACCTATAAATGTACCTTTTAAAATATTATACAAAATAAACACAATGATTATTTGAGCTTTACCCAATTTGTGTTCCTCTCATTGCTTCTGTAGGTGCAGCCTCCTGACCAACCACCAGACTGGATTATCTTCACTGGCAGAGACGTGTGGTTGGAGTTGATACTCAATACTGCCACCTCTGTGTTTTATCCACATATAAAGGAATACAAATCGAGGAGGTCACTGATCAGCACTGGATCCTGTGGTTGATGTTGGAAAATTATACATAAAACCTCAAGATACAAAAAGGATTCTCCCTCTTCCATACATAAAAGCCACAGCGTTTTTGTGTGATTGAGTTCATCATCAGGACGTTGTTCCGGTGAGAGTGTATCCTCCAGGGGATTGTTGTGCAAGGGTGTTATCAGAGCCTCAGTGCTCTCCGCTGGGAAAGGAAGCAGAGGGAAGGCCCTGCACGTCCCTGGAGAAGAAGGGAACAGAGCCCGTAGCTGGAAGGCTGACTGTTAGATAACTAACAGGCACGGTCACACTCTAACACAGTGGAGCCAAGAGACCAGTGGGGGGTTTGCGTTTGCTGGCTGATACACTAGATACAACTATTATCTATTCGCAAATAACTCCCAGCGCTCCAAATCCACACTGTATATTAAGTTCATTTCCATGGATACTGATGGATGTTCCTACAGATGTTTTGGAAAGACCACCAATGTCTTCTTATTGTCTTCCGATCCCATCCCCGGAGCTGCTGGCAGGTGAGGTGGTTTGAATCAGCCACCGGCGGGGTTTAGGGATGCCCCGACACAGGAAAACCAGGCTACTCCACTGGCCCCTTTACAGACTGCTGGTTCTAATACGAGTCCTAGACTGAAGGCAAATTATCTCCTTCCCGAAACAGCTTTTTTTTAACAACATTTTCTGGCTTTTAATTTAAGTGAAGGGGAATCTCCAGACATTTTGCTAGCACAGACTTGGCTACAACATTGCCATACACACTCACAACTTATTTAGTTTTGAGCTTTCCTCTCCATTATTTCCTTCTTTCAGCCTTATTTGCTCCATCTTTTCTCCTACTCAGACATGCCTACCTCTGCCATCTCTTGCACCTCACCAGACTCCATTCACAGAACAATCACATGAAGCTGGAGGAGTTCACATCAGGTGCAAGTTCATCCGTTTAGCTGTAACGTTTCTCTGTCAAGTTTTTACTGGCACCAATTGAGTTTTAATATCTTGTTAACAAACCTCTTTTTTTTATTGCACCATCATCATGTTTTTAATCGAGCCTTTATTCACATTGCAAAACCTCAAGCAATGTCCTCTCTTAAAATGATACTACTCTATTGGAAACAGACCCAGAGGAATGATCACATACAATTCGCTTGTGTTTGTAATTGAATGACATGTTTGGAAGAACAGAGCTGTGAGGACCCCTCCTCCTCTACAATTAGTGGCTTCTTTTTTCATCCTGCTTTTTCACCGGTTTCCTGGCTTTCAGGAAAACAAGGCTCATAGTGACTTGTAAGCTTCTTTTAATCTCACACACACAGTAGATCACGATTGACCACGTTAAAGAGGAAGCCCTCTTTAATTATCCCTCCTTTTCTTTTCTATTGTCCTATTAAGTTTTATTTTTTTGCCAATCCATCATCTCTACCCCCTACAAATCTACTCGTTACAGAGACATTTATCTCTGAGTGAAAAATTCTTAACCATAGCGGTTGCTGGAAAGATAAAACCTGCTACATAAAGGACGGGATGCCAGGTATCGGCAGTAAGAGTGGAGGGCGGGGTCCGTCCTCGTCCCCCCTCCCTCACACCGTGATCCCGGCCAGCAGACCCCTGAGACCCTCCCGCTATGTCCCGGTGTCTGCAGCCACTTTCTTCCTGGTTGGCTCCACCACGCTCTTCTTCTGCTTCACGTAAGTGCCAACAGTGCATGGTCTCACACACAAGCCGTTTAAAGGTGAACTGACTCTTTCATCAAATAATGCATGAGAAAAGTAATGATAGAGAGCAGGGCCTCGTTGTTTGTACATGTCCCGGCAGCGTCTGTCGTTTTTTCAACCCAGTTGAGATATAACCAAACCCACTTGAGGAAAGCATCGATGCAGCGTCAGAGCGCCACACACAGCGTTTTCCTCCCACTAAATATGAATTTGACAGCTACAGACGATTCATAGAGCATCATTTTCAAAGTCAATTGTTGAAAATAGCGCTTTTTGAATATGCATCGCTGAGTAAATGTTAATTAATATTTTAATATTAATTCAACATAGTTTTAAGAATAATAAACGTTCAAACAAACTAGTCTTTGTGTTCTGATAAACAGCCTATATCGTTTTTATTTGTTTTATGTTCTATTACTTCAGCATTGTTAACATAGGGACGTTCTCTTCGTACATCCATGAGAAAGTCGACAAAAGCTATGTGAATGTGGAAGTGGGCATGATTAAATCTCCACTGGGTTGGAAAAACAATACACCTACACGTTTGGTGTTTTGATGCTCTGGCGGTGCCCCCCCCCCCGGAGGCTTCTGCTCAGCTGTTAGGTTTGAACCCCCCAGTGGTTTTATCAGAGCACACGAGCAACGTCGGCTCTGGCTACGGCTTGGTTTGTCACCATGCCCAGGTTGAGATGTAGCGCTTGGTGCCTCAGGTGATCTGTGTCAGCATGTTTAGGTTACTTTACCCCCAGGAAGTGCACCAGACGTGGAAGCACATTTTCGTTGAGGCCAAACAGCCGTACTACAACTTCCGTGTCAGTCCGTGGCGTTACTGGGCCCAAAAATAATTGTTCCCATTGACTTACATTGAGAAAGAGATGTCAATTGCAATTGTATAATGCAGGAATTCCGTACAGCGAGTGAAATAGGTCATGTGACTTAATTGCAATATCCTCTTGAATTGTAATACCATTTGCAACATTTGTGTCGTTATCTTTTTTTATTGATCAAATCAATTTGTCTATGTTTTTTAAGGTATCTCTATTATTATTGTATAAACAACATTTTCAAAAAGGTTTGACATAAATGCAGTGTCGCAATACCAAACTTGAAAAATCAAATACCTTCCCAAAGAACAGAGGATTGAATGCCCTGATGGTACAGAGTGATGTGAGAGTCGCCCTGAACTAAAGGTTCCTCCCAATGTCCCTCCTCGACTCCTCTCTCCTCTGTGACTTGAACCGGAAATCGATCAAAGACGACGCCAATGTTGAAAGGACGTCGCAATCGGCTGAGAGAGAGCGCAGAGAGAAAGAGAGCGAGAGAGAGAAGAGCGAGAGAGAGAGAGCGAGAGAAGAGAGAGCGTAGAGAGAGAGCGGAAGAGAGAGAGCGAGAGAGTAGAGAGAGTCGAGAGAGAGAGCGAGGAGAGGATAGAGAGGAGCCGAGAGGCGAGAGGCGGAGAGAGAGAGAGCGAGAGAGAGAGAGCGAGAGCGAGAGAGCTGGAGCTGAGGAGAGCGAGAGAGCGAGAGAGAAGAGTAGAGAGATAAGAGAGGAGAGAGAGAGAGAGAGAGAGAGAGGAGAAGAGAGAGAGAGAGAGACACAGAGAGAGAGAGAGAGATCTGTAGAGATAGAGAGAGAGGATAGAGAGAGAGAAGAGAAGAGAGATAGAGATAGAGAGTCATCGTCCTAGCGACGTCGTCCGCTCTCTGCGAGCTCATCTCTCTCGATAGATAGATCGCTCTCGATCTTCTCTCTCTCTGCTCTGCTCTCTGCGCTCTCTCTCTTCTGCTCTCTCGTCTTCTCTCTCTCGCTCTCTATCTCTCTTCTCTCGTCTTCTCTTGCATCTACGTCTCTCTCTCTATCGTCTCTCGTCTCCTCTCGCTCTCTCTCCTCTCTCTCTCTCTCTCTCCTCCTCTCTCTCTCTCGTCTCTCTCTACTCTCTGCTCATCTCTCTCTCTCGTCCGTCTCCTGCTCTGCTCTTCTAGGCATGTCTCTTCTCTAGATCTGACTCTGGGAATCGTGCATCAAAGCTCCGCCCCCAGCCGCCTGCTCGCTGTTCTGACTGTTTAAGGAGGATCAGTCATTAAATGTTTTAAGTGCTTCAATAATAGTAAAATATATAAATCTCTTAAACGAATGAGGAGATCCTACTCTATAAAAACATTAAAGTGTGTGAAATATACTTACAAATTCCATAATAATGTTTTGATTATAAAATAATAACTTGCAGTTCTTACTTTTGGTTTTTGATGCATGTGTGGATAAAACCCACAGAACGTCAAACATTAAGGATATATAAAAAATACGGGTAGCATACCTAACTAATCTTTTAGTGATTTGTGTCTCTCTATGTAGGAGAAATTAAATAACATCCAATACAAAAGTTCATCTGAAACAAGCTCAAATATCATAATGATATTAATTAATCCATCAATTATTGTTATGATTATAATTATAACTTAAAGGGGACCTATCATGCAAAATGCACTTTTTGATGTCTTTTATACATAAATATGTGTCCTCTGTGTGTCGGGGAACTCACGCAGCGTCAGAAAACATACCACTGTCTCTGCCACCTCCCTCCATGCCTGGCTCCTCCGGTTTATATCCCGGTAGGTCTGGTCATAAAGCACCGGGTGATTGATTCGCTACCGCTAATTTCTCCTCCATTTTTTGGAATATGAGGAAATGACCTGCGGTCTGGCTCTCCCAGCATACACGCAGTTTGATTGGCTAGAGCTTGAACTGCCAGATTTGCGTACACGGGATTTGATTGGCTGCCGCTTCCTCCTCAGCTTCAAAAGTTGAACATTGTTCAACTTTGGATCTTGAAAATCCTGAGAATCTCCGCTCGCCTGCCCACAATGCATTTCGGCGAAAGCGAAAAAAAGTGACGTCACCCCATTCAAAGTGAATGGGCAGAAGCGTTTCAAGATTTTTTTAACGCTGCCGTGGAGACGGCCCGTAACAGGGCTGCAAAAGAGGGGTATGAGCAGTATGAGGCATGGCTACAATGGGTGATCTGTTTGGTATTTTAAGCAAAAAACTTCACAGACATGTTTTGTAATATATGTTTCCAATATAGCATAATAGGTCCACTTTAAATTACATTTTATACCTGGAAAAACAAATACAGGACCGAAAATAATATATTGAAATCTATAATAAAAGAGGGATGGAAGAGATGGACGAAATTATTTAAATGTGAAATTAAATCCCAGGTTTGAAGGGATTTATGTGGAGTGAAGTCCAGTGACGGGTGATCAAACTGCGCGCACCAGAAGTAAAGGGCGTTGTTTATGGTGACGCTGTAGTGAACGAGGACATCCCAACTCATACCTGAGGACTCCTCTGTCCTCGCGTCTTACACTCTCGTCTTACAGGGGCGGAGCTAAGACGCAAGGAAGAGACGTGAGGGAAAGGAGGAGGCGAGATAATCAATTGGGATGAACCTTAAGTCTCTGTGTGTTGTGATCTGTTTACGTAGCCTGCTAGTGAATAGAAGTGAGAACCTTGTAAAGCGAACTCCGGCACGGATTCTCTACCTGAAATTGGCTCTGAATCATGTTTTTGGAACCTTAAATTGAAAAAGCCATAAATACATACGATAAAACCCACTGTAACATTTATCAGCATTGGTAGAATATATTGGATTTATGTTGATCCTGTAGACAAAAACAAACACCCACACAAAGTGCTTATTTTGCTCCATGTCTGGTGGATATGCAGCGGAACAAGTTGTAAAACCCAAACGACATATTATATTGTATTATACTAAATTGACATTAAATAGTGACCCATCGGGCTTGTTCAGCTGGATCACTTTTGAAGTTTAACTTCAATTGTGATATAGGTCATTGAGAAATCTTGAATATGTGTTAATATATTAATCTCTTTTCAATGTGTTCATTAAAGATTAAACCTCAATACATGAATAGGTTGGTTTAATTTGTCCAGTGTTGGATACTAAAAGAAGAACAACTGTACTTAACTATCAGACTAATGGCACCAGGAAACATAGTATTTTAAACCAAGACAGGTTGATGTATTTGCCACTAAAACACTATAATGTATGCAATGTTGCATTTCTATACCCTTGGATTGAAACCTGTACTCCTTTCATAAAATACACCTTTAGTAGAAAAAAATCAAACCAACCAAACAATCATGCTGATCATGGTTTGACCTTTGATACAATATAATATTGTCATCCAAGATCAAATCCAGCTGTGTTGGAAGAACAAACGGATAGTTAGATAACATTAATAGTTTTTTAAGAGGAGCATGTTTTACCTGCATCAATACATTGGCTACAGGGAATGAGGAGAAATGGAGAAGTGAAACGTCCCCAAGTGTTCCTGGCCAGATTTGAACCAGGGAAAGTGCACTTCATGGCTACTCCTGAACCTCTAGGACAGGGGTGTCAAACTCAATTTCATCGCGGGCCACATCAGCATTATGGTTGCCCTCAAAGGGCCGGTTGTAATTTTAACACTATATAAATATACATATATAAATATCAAAATAATGTTTTATACTGTATAACAATATTGCCTCTGCATTGGAGTATTATTGGTTTTGGCAATAACTACGTCTGAAAGCACATGGTTGTGCATTAATGTATTGTGCACGTAGACACAAAAATACTGTATGTGGGCTCAGACTAACATTTCACTCTCTTACTGTTACATAAATCCCATGAATTTATGAAATTTAGTTAGCCTCATCATATCTTATCAAAAAGAGATACAATGTTTGTGAAATCTATTTTTTGTGAATAATAAAGTATTTTTCTTTTGTATATCAAGCATTATTTAAGTAGGCTATATTTCATTTGAATTCAGCAATAATATTTGAATAGTCTGAAAGCCAAGACTTTGAGAACCCCCTGTCCCAGATCCTGCTGTGTTACTATCACCTGTCACTCACTATTTCAGTAAGCAGTGAGTGGGGGGGGGGGGGGGCGGCGGCGTGTTGAGGAGGAACAGAGTGAGAGGGGACAGGGATCGCGGAAGTTTTCCTCCTTCCTTTACAAACTTTACACAAGTATTTATCGTCTGAATATAGCAAAAAGACGTTCATACTCTGCAAGCCAAGACCTCATATATTGTAATCAACCAGAAACCGGAAATAACCGTAACGCGAGTTTTTCTAAAACATAATAAATCCATGTGTGTCTCTGAGCCGCAGCAACACCGACTGATTCTTAAAGAGCGGGTCATTCTGTCTGTTTGTTCTGGGACTGGAGTTGCTTGTCTCGGTTGCTGAAGCAGACTTTGCTCCGTGTTTGGTGTCTCTGTGCCGCTGTAAATTATGTTCCTTCAACTCTGTGTCACTCACAGTCACACACTGGTCACTCACCGCCTCAAGAGTGCCGCTGCTGATAGGAAGTCGCTTCAGTGCGCACGTCACAAAACGAAATGCATTTTGGGACATGCAGTTTATGGGCAACGTGCTTAAACGGCATGTAACCGTATAATAAACTGTTTATATTCTTTGCGAGCTCTCGCGGGCCACATAAAATGACGTGGCGGGCCACATTTGGCCCGCGGGCCTTGAGTTTGACACGTCTGCTCTAGGATATCTTTTTAACTAGCCAACAGAAGAGATTTATAACTAGCTGAGCAGCAGAACATTATATTATAACCAGGGTGAGAGTTAAAGTCTCCTGAGTGGGTCAGATACAGCCTGTCAACAAAGAGTAGGAGGTAGGGGATATAGCTGTAGTTTAGGAGTTTGGGGATTGAATGAGAATAACAAAAAAACACAAAAAAGTGTGCATGGTTGCGTGTGTTTCAGTGTGCATGTGGTTCAAATGTGAGAAAGTCAGATTGTGAGTAAGTGTGCTTTTGTGCCCGTCTGTCTGTGTGTGTTTGAGTGCATATTTGAGAAAATCTAATCTGTGTGTGTGTGGCCCTTCAGCTTTAGATTAGCGAGGAGAAAATAGGCCAACATCTGTCACTCTGACAAAAGCCCGTGATCCAGTCCCTCTCTGCAGTCTCACTAGTAAATTAATAGTAATCTGAAAAGTGAGGGAATAACAAAAAACCCTAGGGACCCTCCGGCGTGGGATCACTCTGTCAATGAACCCTTCCCCACTTGAAACGTGCTCGGACCACGTCTATTTTAGACCGTGACCATTTATCTTGATCTAAACTTCACACCAATGACCCAGAAAGTACGCCGGGCATTGACCACATTTTTATAGTACCAAACATTGGTACTTCAACTTTTTTGTCAGACACGTGACTGACAAAAGTACTTTTTCCCATTGACTTACATTGGGAGAAATATGTCTGTAAATCAGCGTATCATTTATTTTGAGGTAAATGAACAATACAGTCTGAAAAACACTTGTAAAGTTGTGTATCTGTATCTTGCACATCAGTTGAGCAATCGCTTTGACAAACTCTCCCGACACAGAATGGCAGAATTATAAACACCTGACAAAGTTCTGAAACCTCCGCTGAGGTACTTCCTGCTATAGTAGGAGTCTCCAAGAGCACATTTTGCTATGATGACACACACTGTCAAGCTGAAAAGGACACTAGCATTGCAGCCGTTAATAACTATTAGTCCGTAAAACAAGTGTCAGCGCAGCTTGTCATTCTGGAAACACAGCCTCACTTTCAAATGTAACCTTATTATGTGTTTCAGGTGTCCGTGGCTCTCAGAGCGGTTCTCTGTGGCTGTGCCAATCTACAATGGAGTCGTCTTCCTGTTTGTTTTGGCTAACTTCTGTATGGCCACATTCATGGACCCTGGCATCTTCCCGAGAGGTGAGAGCACGGACAGTTTAATGTACTGTATGTGTGTGGTGTTGATCCTGGCTTCATTTGCAGAGTGTTTATCTTTCTTGCTCATCTACGCATCCCTGTTAAAGCCTTTTTAATCGTAGGGTTGTGTTAGTGACGTGTTCTTTTCCCGTCCCTGCAGCCGAGGAGGACGAGGACAAGGAGGACGATTTCCGTGCCCCCCTCTACAAGACTGTGGAGATCAGAGGGATCCAGGTCAGGATGAAGTGGTGTTCAACCTGCCGCTTCTACAGGCCGCCACGCTGCTCCCACTGCTCCGTCTGTGACAACTGTGTGGAGGTGATCTTACACTCACGCATTCATTTCACAAATACATCAAATGCATACATTCACGGCACCTGTCGTCTGTTTACCCTGTAAAAACATTTTTATTAAAACTTAACCTGTTTTTATTTGTTAAGTTCATTAAAGTATGCCATCATCCGTAGTAGGAGCTCAACTCTATCAAGTGCTTAACCCTTAAATGGTTTCTGTATCCTAGGGACAGGCTGTGCCAATGTCTAAAATGGGTGTTATATGGGTGTCATATTGGCAAACGCTCCCACCAGTCTCCTGGAAACACTTGCAACAAGCATGCCTAAACACATTTTTGAAGTTATCAGCAACAACGGTGGGGCTACTCACTACTGAGTTCTTTTATGACACTTTAAGTTCTGTTTTTTTTGGGCGATCGTCTTAAACTTTTGATCGGCTGATGAACAGCTTGTTTGAGTTTAAATGCTGTTTACAAAAATTGGCCTACTCTCTGTTTTTGGTCTCTTGCTCTCGTTTCTTCTTTTTGCATGTTGAAGCTCTACGAACAACCTCGTTACGAAACCAGTGCGAAATGGGAATTCTTGTAATTCTTTCCCTGGTCTTCAGATTTTGTTCAGGATTGTTTTCTACTGCCCCCCCAGGGTCAGCTGTAATCAGCTACAGCTCCCCCTCAGCCCTCTAAAGCAGTGGTTCTCAACTGGTCAGGCCTCGGGACCCACTTTTTCTTTTGTCAATAAATCGCAACCCGAAATTTTGAACCACTCAAATCTATTCAACAAAAAATCGTGCTGTAATATATATATACGCTTTTCAGCATATAATATTAATTAAAGTGAAGTACAGTGCATATATCCCTTATATCCCTTCACAGAACTAAAGTATGCTTTTAAATAAGGTTTAATGAGATGATGGAATCAAAGCTGAACTAACATAAAAAGGCACACATGCTGAAAACCCAACCCCAGAAGGGGGTCTGTGGGGATTCTCCCCCAGGAGATTTTTAGAAATACTAACATATAAACTACTCATTCTGGTACACTCTAAGAAGAAAATAAATAAATCTATGACTACCCGACATATCAATAATATTTGATGCCATTGTTTGTTTTTCACTTAGTTCTGACAGCTGAACTTGCTGCTCCTCACAGAGAGAAGAGCAAAGAGGAGAGAGTCTGTGTGACTTACTTTAAATTGTGGGTAAGGGTAGATAGCTCCCATTGTTCTGTGACCTGTCAATCATCAAACCGGGGGTCATATTTAATTATGTGTTCATTTTTATCTGAAGTTGTACCCATGGATGTATAAAGAGTAGTTCTACCGCAAAGTGGGGACTTCTGGCAACCATCTTGATTCTGATTGGCCAGAAGACTCGAAAAAACATCAGCAAAGATGTTTTATTGAGAAGATGATCACTACGTGACAGAAGTTTTCAAAACCGTTTATGGTCTCCGGTACTTCCAGTCCAATGCTTACTGCATGCACAGCGTTAGAAAATCGGGCCTTCAAAATAAAAGTTTTCCCCCCAAAACTCACATCTGCGACCCACTCGAAACGGGTCCGCGACCCAAAAGTGGGTCGCGACCCACCAGTTGAGAACCACTGTCTTAATGTATGCTATTAAACTTGCGAATACATAATACGATTTGCCTTATCTTGTCCTGGTGATATCTGGTGGATTAGGGCTGGGTAACGTTCACATTTCATACTGGTCCCCAGAATTTGGTACGGTACCTTACTCTCTCTGTATTATCAAAAAGTAATAGCCAGTTGTAAAAAAAAACAACCACTTAATTTAAAAGTTATTAAGAACATTTTGTTATTTTATTTAGAATGTTTTACACACCACATGGAAATAAAACCCCTCCCTTACCCCTGAGCCTGTCACTCTGTCAGACGGGCATAACATCGTCAGAGAATGAAGCCGTGTTCTGGAGAAAGCAGATATGAGAAGAGCCGCCCCGAACAGCTTTCCATTTTGCTTCACAAATATTGCAGGGAGAATTTTCCAAATCCAGATTTGGAAAGTGTAAGTTCTCTCTTTGTGGTGCGGCTAGACTGCAGCTCATATTTTCTCATCCAGATGCGCTCTCAGGTACCAACATTTAGCACAGATTGATTCAACGTGACGTGGTACTTGGCAGTGCCGACTGCATTTGGTGTTTACCGTTAAAAGTACTGTCTTTGGTACCAAAGCCTATGAGTGTTGCCGGAAATTATTTGTATTGCTGTGAAAATATCTCCTTCACTGTATTTATGCGCCATAGACTTGAACACATAGGGTTATTATATTCTCCCAACACTCGTTTTTACTGAGTCGAGCATGAACACATCAATATATTTTATATATATATATAATAATAATATATAATATATTTTTTTATATATTATATATATTTTGAATAGTATTTCAATGCAATCTTAACGTAATTCAGTGCACAGAGATACAGTACAATATTCTTCTTCTTTCTTTTAACCCTTCTTTTGTAGGACTTCGACCACCACTGTCCGTGGGTGAACAACTGCATCGGCAGGAGGAACTACCGCTACTTCTTCCTCTTCCTCCTCTCTCTGACGGTGCACATCATGGCCGTGTTTGGCTTCGGCATGCTCTTCATCCTCTACCATCGGCAGAATATTGACCGCCTGCACGCCATCGTCACGTATCCTTTTAGGATCTGTTTTTTGTCGTTTTTCCTTTTTAGGGATGGCAAACCAGTTTAAACATATTCTGGACAACCAGTTTCGATAGCACCATGAAATCAAAACATTTATCTTGTCTCTTAAGGTTTTTCCTTAACCCCCGTGCTCTCAGGCTGGCTGTAATGTGTGTTGCAGGCCTGTTCTTCATCCCTGTGGCTGGTCTCACTGGCTTCCACATAGTGCTTGTGGCCAGAGGCAGGACTACTAATGAACAGGTGGGAACTTCAGTAACAATTCGTAGTCCCAGAAATCCTGTAGTTAATATTTGTTAGCCACAGATAGCTGGGTACATTTTTGCTCTCTGTAAATAATAACAAGAGTACAATCTAGACCAGCACTAAATGAAAAGTGTCCGTTTGTGATATATGACTACAATAGAATAGGAAAATGCAGAGAATGGCATGTCTGTTTAAGGTGTAGAAACAAAGTGGCTACAGCTGCTTTGGAAAGATGTGAAACCAGGGAAAAAAACAATATTACAGTTTGACATTATGAGCTATTTTCCCTTTTCCACACAGTTTTAGTTCAGGTGATAATCCTACTTGGTACATAGATGTTCTCTAGGTATATATATTTAAGCCCCACATGCTTTGTTATCAGAATATGTGACATTATTCAGAACATATTGAATATAAGTGGTCATGCCCATACTGTATTCATTTATTTGAGTGGGGACATGTTCAATAACCTTTCATACTTTATCCATCCTCCCTCTCATCTTTTGATATCTCTGGTGTCCCTCCCTTTCTTCAGGTGACGGGGAAGTTCAGAGGAGGTGTTAACCCTTTCACCAATGGCTGTTGGAAGAATGTCTCTCATGTCCTCTGCAGCTCACAGGCACCCAGGTGCATATTCTTCCTTTTTCTTTTTTTGTAGCCTACATGCTCATATAGTTTAGGTATACAACAGTAAATGCACTACAGTAGATATGACGGGCGTTTGCTAACTTTCCTGTTGTGCCGATTCTGTCTGGAGAGACTTTACTACCAGCAGGTGGATATCCCTTAAAAAGAGCCATAACCGTGCTCGTCATAGGTGCGCTTCGGCGAAAATACTACATCCCTGACAGCGCTTGCCGCTCCACGGTTATGCAGGCTTGAATTTCTAAAGAACAAAATGCAATAAAATATGTATACATTCCTTGATGATGTCATTCTTTATCAATTGTTTTCAAGCTTAATAATAACCACAGTTAATATGTAACCAGATAACTTCCAATTTGTCACGTTGACCGGTAAGATTCTTTTTCTAACAGAAACTCTGGTGAGTATATCACTGCATTTAGAAGAAATCTTGTGACAGAAGTGCATGTGTGCAGTGGTTGGTCTTCATGGTGTGGTCTGTGCTCTCTGCAGGTATCTGGGCAGGAAGAAGTGTGTGCAGAGTGTGTGTGTGCAGCCTCCCTTCCTGCGGCCGCAGCTGACAGAGGCCCAGCTGGCTGCAAAGATCCTGGACAACGGCATCCAGGGGGATCTGCACCGGGTAAGATCAGCAGGACGGAGCGGCGGTACAAAAACAAATAGAGTTGCTTTGGCCTTTTGGTAAGCACACGTTCGGTAACTCAGATTGCACTTGGTTAGTCTACTTATAGGCAGGTCCAGGTGGCAGCAGGAGGTTTAGAAGCTGTTTGAAATTAAAAAAATATATTGATGGGCTTGATTGCCAAATGAAATATTCCCACAGGGATAGATATGTATTATAATATATGTAGTACAGGTAAAAAAATGATTTCAGAGTGAAGCAGAAAGAAGCGGTTATTTCCAGGTGGTCAAGCATACTCTGGCAGTAGCCACAGTTTAAAAAGACAGATCAAAGTAAGGCTGGGTCTGATGGTAAATCACCAATCTACCTGGCTAGTTTTTGTCATTTTTAGTAGTTAAGTAATAGCAATACACTTTTCAAGTGTGTTGTAAGAGACTGATTATTCAGTGGAAGCCTCAAGTTGCGTGGACATTTTGATAAATGCATTTTGAAAACTGCAACCGTTAAAATTGAAGTTTTTATAATGTCAATATGAATGTGAAGCCGCATTACCTGGTCAGGGAGATCAAAGATTCAGATTCACTTTCAATGTTATTCATACAGAGAATGTTCTGTGGAAAGTTGATTAAAAATTGCAGATAGATGCATAGATGGAAAAAAATGAAAGGAGATTTAGTTTTCCCCAGTATAATATTGTTTTGATAATCAACCCCTTTAACATTTGTATTCATAGTACAATGTAGTTTTCATAACCCTCCCCCCTTTAATGCTGGAGACAGGTTGAACATTGACATTGAGCTAGTAGTGAACAAAACATTCAGTCACTTTTCCTCATCTGCAAAACGTACAGAAGAATTGAAAGCAGTGTTCACCTTTGTGCAGTGCTTGAATTGGCAATATCCTAATGCTGGTGGTTTTGTCTCTTTACTGTATATTTTAGAAAGGCTCATTGTACTTAAACAAAATGACTCAGGGTGCATCTGAGATTAGAGGGGGTGCAATGGTAAAGTATGGGCTCAGAACAGTCTCATAATACACACATGCACACAGAAGGATTCACACTTGTATTTCCGGATCCACACTTGTGTTTTTCAATGCACACACAAATGTGTTCCGTTTCATATACATGTAAATAAAATCCAAATACAGAAAAAAGTTTTACATATGTATTTTTGATCCTCACATATTTGTTTTCCGTTTAAATCCGCTGAACCTGCAAACACAACCCGCTTTCTGTGCATGGATCGCTCTGCATTCGTGTGTGGGTTTTTTGAGACTCCCCTGACGGTCACCCGATTCGTACTTGTAATTTGTTCTATCTATTGCCAATCAGATGTCTCCTTCGTTCTAAGCCAATCACATGAGCGCGTCCCCACGAGGGTATGATTTATTGTGTTCATGACACTTCATATACGCATTTTGCGCTGTCCGGAGCAGGGTTTCCGCGGACAGATTTAATTTTACCGGACACATTTGAAACTTACCGGTCATGTTTCAATAATAATAATAAGAAGAAGAAGAATTGTGTAGCAGAGTTTCCGTTAGCAGGTAATTACCGGACTATGACCGGATATGGCTAATAACACGGGAGTAAGGATCCTCTCTTTTCCTCTCTCCCTCCCTCTCTCCTGACAGCCCGTCAGTTTCTCATGCAGCTCGCTAAAACTTCACTCGCGTTTATGTCCATATCGATCAGATCCAGCTCTCCTGATCGGCCTTTATAGAGAGCACCGATCAAACTATTAAGAGTGAATATCGGGCTCCCCCCGTTGACAGTTCACTGTCTAGCACTGGCTTCGTAGTGCACTGATCGATTAGGCTAAGCTAACCTGTAGCTGCTCCCTCCACACTCACAACAACTTCATACAGACATAAATAAAGCAGCTGTATTCGCCATACAGGAAACACACGTTTTTATGTACACAAGCATTCATTAATGGTTCGGAAAGTGGCACTGTACCTTAATAATATAAAGGCTTGTATTTGCGTGCATTTCCTGCTCGGAAAGTGGCAATGTACTGAGACTGGAAGTGTCCTGAGATTAGCGCCTGCAGGCAGGCTCCATGGACCTGTCAGCTCCGGACAGCGCAAAATGCGTACATGAAGCGCTACGTCATGAACGCAATAAATCTACCCTCGTGGGGGACGCGCTCATGTGATTGGCTTAGAATTGAGGAGACATCTGATTGGCTATAGATAGAACAAATTACAAGTACGAATCGGGTGACCGTCAGGGGAGTCTCAAAAAACCCACACACGAATGCAGAGCGATCCATGCACAGAAAGCGGGTTGTGTTTGCAGGTTATGGGGATTTAAACGGAAACAAATATGTGAGGATCAAAAATACATATGTAAAACTTGTTTCTGCATTTGGATTTTATTTACATGTATATGAAACGGAACACATTTGTGTGTGCATTGAAAAACACAAGTGTGGATCCGGAAATACAAATGTGAATCCTTCTGTGTGCATGTGTGTATTATGAGACTGTTCTGAGCCCATAGTAAAGTACTACATTTATAAGTGGGGAGCGGACCTGACCTCCTCTAGGGGGGTCCGGGGGCATGCTCCCCCGGGAAGATTTTTTTTAAATATTGAAGTTAAATGCATCAATCTGGTGCACTTTGAGAGCAAAATGAAGAGATATATGGATACCTCTCAACATCCATATGAAACAGAACTGTAAACAAATTTACTTTTTCTTTATGGATATAAAAGAAAGTAAAGCCTGACTCCTACTGGCGGCTGGTTAAATGACTCCTCGTCCCTGAGTACACTCACCATCTTTCAGCAGGAAAGGAGAGAGGGAATCAATGAGAGATGGGAGAGAAGGCTCTGTGGGAGCTAGTGCTACAGAACTTGGAGAAGGAGGCTCGACCAGAGAAGGCTCCCCGTCAGACAACATTTCTAACACAGGCACAGCATTTCTGTATTAGCAGTCGGCTCCTTGTCCGGCGACAACCGGCGGCATCTCATGACGCATGACGCATCTAGGTGCATCTTCGCTGGGCATATTTGTTGTCATGCGTCATGCCGGCGGCTGAGTACCGGCATCTTACTGAGTACCTTGCCGGTACTCAGTAAGATGCCGGTACCACATGGGTAAAAATCAGAAGTGCCGGTACTGCGTACCGGTGAGTACCGGCCCAATTCAAGCACTGCCTTTGTGGAAGAAGAATATCAGGTTGTGCGGAGACACGTACCCACAAGATGGTTGAGTCTGTGGCCTGCTGTCAAGAGGCTACATGACAGCTGGAGAGCTATCAAGAGCTACTTCTTGTCACTGGGAGAGGATAAGTGCCCAAATTCACTGTGGCAGCTGTTCAAAAATGATGAGGATGGTGATGGGAAACCCCTAGAGCTACAGTTGTACCTGTCCTTCCTCAATAATGTTCTGAAAATCTTCCACGATGTTGTGCTGCTATTGGAGAGAGAGGACGGGACCGTATGTGAGCTATATGACATGATGCTCACTCTCAAGACAAAGCTCCAACAACGACAGATTGATTCCTTCTTTGGAATGGAGAACAGTGCTATCCTCCAACAGTTTCCAGACCAAAAGGCAGCAGCAATCAAACATGATCTTTCCAAGTTCTACCAGGCTGCTCTCAACTACCTTGAGAAGTGGTATGACTTCACAGACAACAACTACCAGAAGAATGTTGCAAGCTTGGCACTGAAGTGCAAGTTCACATTCTCCCATCTCTGTGATGCAGTGGAGGTCCTACAGATAAGGGGGAAACTAGACATGGATGAACTGTATGATGAATACTGTGTGACTTTGCCACGCCAGCAGGACGTTGAGGAGAGAAGAGCTCCTGTTGTGGAGAAGTGGTCCACCTTGCTTCAAGGCACAAACACACCAAATCTGACTGCTGTGGCATCCTTTCTCTTAAGCATCCCCATCACTAATGCTTCGGTAGAGAGAGTGTTTTCCCTCATGACGGCAGCGTGGACTGACCAGCGGAACCGGTGCTCTGTGGAGCTTATCAAGTCTGAAATTCAAGTCAAGACCAACTTTGAATACAGTTGTAAGGAATTCTACACCAATGCACTCAAGGAGAAGGCCTTATTGGAAGCTGCACGCTCAAGCAAAAAGTACAAAGTCAAGAAGAGCATCTAAGGTAAGATAACCTTTGTTTAGAATATAGACTAAGAGTAGGATATTTTAGAATATAGTAGGATATTGTGGGCCAATGTGGTGTTAGATTTTAATACAGTGCTGCTATTCTTGTGTTTCTGTTTCACTGCCAGGTGCTTTCCATGGTGCTGGAAGTGCATAGCCATAGCCTGTGTGGGGGGGCCCACCTGCTGTTGCTGTGACAAAACTGAAAGCTATTTTATGTATTATAATGTTTTTGTTCCCTCCTGGCCAGTTTTGATTTGTATTTATGGTTTTATTTTATCTATTAATTTATGTTGTGCCTACTTTTACAGGTAATACACTAGTTGAATTAGGAAGATGCATTTCTAAACACTTGAAGTGAATAATGCCTGCTGACTTGGTTAGCCTTAGTTTACTTTTCTTTATTAAGAGACTAAATTGTTACTGCATTTTGACTTCACTGTCTGCTCTGTTGTTATATATTTGTTAAGTTTTTATCTGCATTGTTTATTGGATGCTGTTGAATAAACCAAATGAAACAGAATAGAAATTCATTTTCTTTCCTGTTGCTTTGCTGTTGAGAGGGTGTCACACCTGGTTGCACCTGATATCAAATGTGATATCGCACTTGATTGTTATTGATGCATTTAATTGGGATATCATTTTTTTATCTTTATAATATATGTATTACAATGTTATTATTTTAGGACAGATGGAGATCTCACATACTCCCTGCAGTACTCCAAAGAACCCCTAGGAGGACACTCACTGCCATTTGAAAAACACTTTTCTGAATGATACTAATTTGGTATTTGTAATAAAGGAGGGGAAGTAATACCATGACTTACATTTCAGTCATGTGATTCTTTGACTTTGTATTTCTCTTCTATCCAGTCCAAGTCCAGTCTGGAGATGATGGAGAGCCAGTCATGTGACGCCGAGCCTCCACCTCCTCCCAAACCGGAGCTCCGCTACCCTGGGATCACCCGAGGAAACACAGAGGGTAACGCTTTCTGACTCTTAACCATACAATGCTCTGGTTCACTACTTCACAGTGAGTTTATTCAATTCTTTGTCTTCCCACCCTCCTGCAGAGTGCAGTCTACTGAACAAAGCCCCTCCCACCCCCACCATGTACAAATACAGGCCCACCTACAGCCCTGGGAAGAACCACACAGCGCTCACACATGCTTACGCCAACCAGGTAATGCACACATGTACAGCAGGCTGCATCTGAACAAGCAGGGGTGCATAAATGAAAGGGACATGGAGGGTGTAAGGGGGCATTGAAACAGATATAGTACTATATTACACACAATTACAGAACACTTTATTAGTCAGAGCACTCGCAAATTTAGAGCACTACATATTTTTCTATCTTTTAAACAATAAAAGGAAGCAGGCAGAGATACTGAACTAAGGAACTGGTGACTGTCTGCAACTTGAGGTTCAGTATCCTGCCCAAGGACACTTACTGCTTCACCTCTCGAGACACAGCCGCCCTGATGATTTAGGCTGAATCTCCTAGAGCACATCTGGCAGGCATACATAGTAGGGCTGCTCAATTAATCGTATTTTAATCGCAATTACGATTTTGGCTTGCAACGAATATGAAAACAACATAATCGAAATAAAACGATTTTTCTTTCTTTTCTTTTATATATTTTATTTTTTATTTTTTATTGGTTTTTCAGTTGAATTATACTTAAAAAAAACATACTGTTCACATTTTTTTTTTCAATAAATGGATGTTTTCAAAGTAAATGGATAATCGTTTTTAATAATCGTGATATCAATTATTGACTAATAATCGAGATTATGATTTTTGCCATAATCGAGCAGCCCTAAAACATAGTTAAAGTTACAGTTACAGTCTTGACACTGATTTATTAATGTGGAACTGATCGGCTGTCAAGATATGCATTATCAGTGTAGATTAAGATTTTATTTTTTCTAGAATTACTATAATTTGTCCAAAGGGTGTCGTATAAATACATCAAAAAAAGAGGGCCAAGGATTGAGCCTTGAGGTACTCCATATTTGACATCGGAAATAATCATTTTGTATTTTTACATTATGAACACATCTCGTTCTTTCTGATAGCTAGAAATGTAAATCATGTGAGAGCCAGGCCAGTTGTTCATTCATACAGAGTGGTCAAAAGTTTCAAAGCTGCACTGAGAAATACCGTGCTGAAATCTGAATCCAGGAGACTAGAAAAAGGGAAGTCCCTGGTAAATGTTTCTATTTCATATTCATTTCTTCAACATGATACAGCTCTGAAAAAAATGAAGAGACCACTCCACATGTTTCTTAAATCTCAATCTCTACATGTATGGCAGCCATTCCATTCCAGTGTCTGTTGAATTCCAACACAGAGAAATGTTGTCAGTAGTTTATAGAATAAAAAAAACGAAAACGTTAATTTTACTCAAACACATACCTATATAGTAAAACCAGAGAAACTGATAATGCTGCAGTGATCTCTTAATGTTTTCCAGAGCTGTAGTATCCAATCAGGAGTGTTGCCTGATGCACTGTGGATCTATGAATAGGTCTTGTGTTAATTGGAGCAGGATAGCTTATATTAGTAGTAAATATTGGTGGCAGTGCAATGATCTAGGGATACAATTTAGATTACTTCAGATGCTCTGAATGGGACATCATGTGACAGTTCGCCACTGCCAGAAGTAGGGATAATAATCAGATTTCTATGATTCACATATTTGGTAAGGCAAGGTATGAGTAATACAGTGAAGGAGACAGTCTCAATTTAAAAAAAATCAGCTATCAGTATGTAACTATAACTAAAAGTATATCAGATGCACTAAGGTGTGTGTGTTTTCTGTTTTGTATTTTTCATTTGTCCCTGCCTTTCAATCTAATGCATCTCCATTTTTGTTTGTTTTTTGATTTCCTGTCGCTCATCTGGGTTTGGTTTCTCAGTGGCTTTCTGTCGATCAATATCAGTAAGTGGTTGTGCTGAAAGCAATTTTCCTCTTATTTTCTTTGTTTCCTGCCCCTTTCTGTTTGCCTGGACATGGGTGAACTACTGTGTTAATACATCTAGAGACTGGATTCATCTCTCTGGGTAATGTATAGGGCTGAGGAATAGAGAGTCCTTTGTGTTTGAATCAAAGGATTGTATCCGAGTACATCTAGACATGGTACGGATGGTTCTACTCAGTATTTTTACCCATGTCCGGTTCATTTCCTCCTACTTGTCAATCCACAACTTTGTTTTGACTTTCCTTAATTTCTCCCGAATGAGAAGTCTCCTGTAGATTCACCAAGAGCTTGTCAAAAAGAAGTAGTCAAACACAGTATCAAAAGCTTAAATGTAACTCTATTAGGCAAGTTCCCACAAGTGCCCTTCGTATTTAATTTGATGTTTCAGCTGGGTTCTTCTCATACAGAGATAAGCCTACTGACGACTCAGAAAGAGGAATCATGTTCCCTCTTCTCCTTGGTTGCAGTTTGAGGTGTAAGAAGTAAAAGAAGCAACAAAATAAGTTGTTACTTTGAAGTGATAATGACAAAAGTTTATTTGAAAATTCACGAGGATATTATGACTTGTGTAATGAAACATTTGTGACCTCGATACACAACATGTATACATTATGCATACATACAACCATTTCTCATACTATATTTCCGTTTACAGTCTTTTGTTGTGTTGCATTTTTTTATTTGACTTTTTACCCTCACAACACCACAGTACCAGAAACATTGGTATCGAAATAAACATATTCAACTTGTGTTACAGTTAGTGTGCTGTATCCAACTAAAGCTTTTCTCCTCAAGCTCAGCCTCTGCATACCATACAAAATGTGTTCATCAGTCTGAAATGTTACTACATGTATGCAGTTGGTAAAAAGTAGAAGTACCAGAGTGAAGTAAAAGTCCTGCATTCCATATGTTACTCGAGTAAAAGTACAAAAGTATTAGCATCAAAATATACTTAAAGTACCAATGGGGAATTGAAGTGAAAACCACACCAAAGAGGCAAAGAGTGGGGGTGCAGCTCCATAGATCAAATGAGAAACAAACTCAGAATAAATGTCTCCAGACCGGGACCAGTGACCGGCGCTCGGCCTTATTGTAAGGTGTGCAGAGTCTTCCTCTGTCCAAGCCTCCTCCATCTCAGCACTGTGATATTCTGAAGACCCTCGGCATCAGAGCTGACCTGAGTGGAGCTGTTGTGTCAGGAAGTGTACACTAGAGGGAGTGAGAGTGCAGCAGGAATCAAATCAACCTTTATTTATATAGCCCAATATCACAAACACTTTGCCCCTTTCACACCGGCGCTTTTCCAGCTCCTGCTCGGAGCTGGAGCTGGAAAAGCGCCGTTTTTTCCTGTTCACACCGCAGCGGCGGCGCGTCATAGCTCCGGAATGCGGTTCACTTCCAGCTCCAAAAAATTGTCGGTCCAGAGGCAAGAGCTTCGGAGCTATGACGCGGCGTCGCTTACGTCTCTTACGTCGAGGCGTGCAGGAAACCTTACTTTGACCATCCGTTCGCTGTTATTGATCATTGTGGAGATACATGGGCTGCACAGGTTGTCATGTCCGACTATCACAAGTAGAATCATAATGAAAAATACGCCGGTAAAATGTGCCTGTAAAAAACGGCTTAGCAAGTAGTCAGTTTAGCTTCGGTTGCTATGCTAACATCACCCATGTTATACCAGAGAAACTTTCATAACAGCGTTGTGATGCCAAACAGCGTCAATTCAGACTGACACACATTCACTTAAGGGGAACTGGGGATATGTATCAGCTGCTTGTGTGACAGTCAGACAGTGAATACTTTAGAGCCGTGTGAGCTAACCCGGAGCTAACGGGAGAATAAACTCCCGTGGAAGAGCAGCCAGCACTGCAGCGGTCGGTAAATGCCGCTGAAACACATTAATAAACAATGAACCACGGCACTCTGGAGAAAAGTATAAGGTTGGAGAAGTCGTTATTTAATTTAATCTGGCTTCGTATGATTACAAGCAACACGATCATCGACCCGACGCAGTCCACCATTGTTGTTGTTGTGGGAGAAAATCAGCGACGTAAACTGTGACGTCATGACGCAGCAGCGGCAGCTCTGGGCAGTGTGAACAGAGCGGGAGCTGAAAAGGGAAACGGGAGCTGAACCAGAAAAGCTCTCGCTAGGAGCTAGAAAGGGAAAAGCGCTGGTGTGAAAGCGGCAGTCTCAGAGGGCTTTACAAATTAACAAACATAAATGACAGTGCTAAAAGATCAAATGAATTTACAATAATATAATAAAAAGACACGATAGCATGGCAAATACAAATCAAATCTGATCAAATACAACAAAAATACATTCAAAACAAAAAGATAAAATGGATGACAAACATTGGGTACTCTTAAAGCAGCTTTAACTTTATGCTTTTGAAGGTCTTCAGCACACTCTTAATATTTTGTACACGGTCTGCCTCCCCAATAAAAACGGTTGGTTCCAGAGAGAGGGAGCTTAGCTGAACGCTCTCATCTGGTTTTGAGGGAACCACTAACAGACCTGCACTCTGGACGTAATGCCCGAGAGGGGCAATAGTGGATTCAAATATCTTTTAGGTAGGATGGTGCCTGACCATTAAGCGCTTTGTAAGTAAGAAGTATTTTCAATTAGATTCTGTAATTTACTGGGAGCCAGGGTAGAGCTGCTAAAATTGGAGTGATGTGGTCCTTTTTCCGTGCTTTGGTTAATAGACAGGCTGCAGCAAGTTGTACCAGGAAGTACCAGCAGGAAGTAGTTCAACTCCAGGTTGCTCCTTTGCTCAGCTGCTTGTTGTTTCTTTTCCCTCTCCTCCTCCTCCTCCTCTTCCTCCTCCTCCTTTTCCTCCTCCTCCCTCCTCCAGCTGAGTCGAGGAGAGAGTGTTGGCAGTGCAAAGGACTCCTCCACCTCCTCCCTCCTCCAGGCCAGCCAGCAGCCCGGTTTCCGCTCCCAGCCCAGCCTGGACCGCAGGGACGCTGTAGGGGGGGCGGGGGGTGGAGCTGGGGAGGAGAGGAGGGAGGGGAGAAGAGAGGTGGGGGGCATCCCTGGCTACACCCTCGGTGGACGTTCGTACCCCTCCTTCTCATCCAGCTCCACCCACACCTCGGCCGGCACCACCCACCTCTCCGAGGCAACCACCACCTCCGCCAGCTTCAAGAGCTTAGCCAATCAGACGCCCCCGCCTCACCACCCGTCCCGCAACGGGAGCCTGTCGTATGACAGCTTGGTGGCAGGTGGAGAGGACTTCGACAAAGGGGTGGTGGTAGCCCCTGAGGCTCCGTCTGGGAGACCCTGTATGCCGGCAGCAGGCGGCTACACCTCCCCCTTCCTGTCTCACCCGAGAGACGCTGAGATGCAGTCGCCCCACCACTACCACCGCTCCTCCCACCTCCACCACCACCAGCCCTTCCTCCATCGCTCCTCCTCCACCACATCCTCCTCCCCCCCACCTCCCCTAGACAGGGAGCGCCTGCTGGGGGATCCTCACCCCCCGCCAGCCAATCACACCTCTGCTCCGCCGTCCTCTGCCGCCCCACCTCCCCCACACCATCGCCACCACCACGCCCATCACCACCACCACCATCACCACCACTCCTCTTCCTCTTCATCCACCAGCCGCCCTCCCCGCTTTGCCGCCCCTTACGCGCCCCCCCCACCACCATGCCTATCCCTACCGCACCCGATCCACCGACACCCCCCTGGGACCCTCCTCCACCTCCACCACCCACCCTCCCCGCTCGCCCCACCCCCCGCCCCTGGGCAAGTCTCTCTCCTACTCCAGCGCCGCCGCAGCAGAGATGCAGTACCGGCTCGTCCGGAAGGCCTCAGCGTCAGCCGGGGCCAACGCGGCGGGGGTGGGAGGAGGAGGGGGAGGAGCTGGGGGAGGAGGAGGAGGAGTAATGCTGCCGCCAAAGTGAGTATGACCTTCGCCTTTTGTCGGGACCATTGGTTTGCACCTGCCCGCCTCAACAGCTGACTACCTGATTGACTGCTCTTCCTGCTTCTCCTCCTCCTCCTCCTTCTCTCCTCCTCCTCCTCCTGCCAGGTTTCCTGTGAGTTGTCTCTCTTTCCCTCTGCCTGTCTTCCATGTGTCTGAGCTTTCATGTGTGATGCTGCGTTCTCATAGGAATCATCAGTGCATCATGTGATCTGTTCTGTACTTTGATATCACGTTCTCACAAGTCACCCCCAGGCACAGACAACATTTAGCATGAAGACGCCTGGTCTGTCTGTCGCTGTGTGTTCCTGTCCTCCCTGCTCACTGTCCCCCCCCTCCCCCCATGCACAGGGTCATTGAATTGTGTCTCCACTGTGAATAGTTGTTGAGTTGGAATGCTGCATGAATTCCACTTTTCAGATGATCTGTGTTGAATCAGTGAAATAAAAATATGGTTTTAACTTTCATACTGAGATACAAAAAATGTTCCGCATCACACTTTTATTTACTTACTAAATGTTTCTTAATGAAGGAATGCCCTGATCACATTCACAGCAGGAGGCTCCACAGTCTGACTGCTCAGAGTTTCGTGCTCCTCAGTGGTTATGAGGGGGGGGGGCTGTGCCCTGAAACAAAGACTGTGATAGTTTTACTTTATATGAAACTATTATAGCATTCTATATGCATATCACACAACCTAACCCTGCTAATACTGCTCATAGTCAGTTCCGTCAGTCCTTCAAAACATATATATATACATATATATGCAGATATATATTCTACTTAAAGTATCAAAAGTACTCGTAGAATGACCATAGAAATACTCAAGTAGAACAAAGAAAATATGTATAAAGTACAGTACTTGAGTAAATGATGATGCTGTTAGGGTCTCTCTCCTCAGGGTGCAGTGATGACGGTGTTAGGGTCTCTCTCCTCAGGGTGCAGTGATGACGGTGTTAGGGTCTCTCTCCTCAGGGTGCAGTGATGACGGTGTTAGGGTCTCTCTCCTCAGGGTGCAGTGATGACGGTGTTAGGGTCTCCTCAGGGTGCAGTGATGACGCTGTTAGGGTCTCCTCAGGGTGCAGTGATGATGCTGTTAGGGTCTCTCTCCTCAGGGTGCAGTGATGACGGTGTTAGGGTCTCCTCAGGGTGCAGTGATGACGCTGTTAGGGTCTCCTCAGGGTGCAGTGATGATGCTGTTAGGGTCTCCTCAGGGTGCAGTGATGATGCTGTTAGGGTCTCCTCAGGGTGCAGTGATGATGCTGTTAGGGTCTCCTCAGGGTGCAGTGATGATGCTGTTAAGGTCTCCTCAGGGTGCAGTGTGAGGATGGTGTTAGGGTCTCCTCAGGGTGCAGTGATGATGCTGTTAGGGTCTCCTCAGGGTGCAGTGATGATGCTGTTAGGGTCTCCTCAGGGTGCAGTGATGATGCTGTTAGGGTCTCCTCAGGGTGCAGTGTGAGGATGGTGTTAGGGTCTCCTCAGGGTGCAGCAGAGACCGTGTTCTCTGTGTGGGAGGACAGAGCTCTCTCTGGACTTCCTGCCCCTCACACTGTCTCTGTGTCCTTCCTCCTTCAGGGATGAGCTGATCCAGAGGAAGCCTCTGAGTCGGTCCAATGGTGGCCAGCCCTTCTCCTCCTGCTCCGCCCCTTCCTCTCCCTCTCACCCAATCAGCGTGTGTGCCCGACCCGGAGTGGCCTATCCCAGCTCGACCCTGACCCACAGTCCTGCTCACAAGCCTCAGGGGGGCGGGGTGAAGAAGGTGACGGGCGTCGGGGGCACCACCTACGAGATCTCTGTGTGAGCGGCCACCAGACCCCCCCTGGAGGAGCGAAGAGGAGGTTCTGCGGACTCCTCCCCCTCTGAGGGAGAGGACCGCTTTTGAGGGTCTGAGGAGGAACCAGATCTCCCTGCTGGTTGGCTGTGGAGCTAGACTGGATCCACCGCACTTCCTGTGCAGGTCGCGTGATGCTGGAGCACGCAGGAACCTTCTCAGTCTGCTCGCTGTGGTCAGGTGTTACATTATGCATTCCCACTGCCAGGAGGAGGGCTCTGACCCCCACCAACTGTAACGTTACAGTCTGCTTGCCAGCACTGTGAACCCAGAAATGTTGAGTACCCCAAAGTTTTATGTTAGAAATGAAGTAGTGGCCCTCCAGTAATTACAAACTGCCGGATGGATAATATGTTGGGCAATTTGCACAATTAGCATTATTGCCTATGTGGCCATAGTTTAAAATTCTCCAAATCGGCCAAGCCTTTTTTTAGAGTGGATTTGGGTGTTATTGAGGACGCTGAATCTGTTTCTGACATTTTCAGGATCAAAAATGGCAGTTTAACCAGAAAGTGGCTATATTTGTACTCTGGGTGGGCTGATTTTGACTACCATGAGAAGTGTTGCAGACAATTGGATATAGAGGGCACAAGTTGAAACTCTACCTATGACTTCTACTGTGGAGAATTATTGTTCCAATAAATAAGCAATGTTTCCAATACAAATGATCCAGAGTCCACTAAAACTTAAAAATGGACCCAAATGTGTCAAAATCAGCCCACATAGTAGTAGAAGTATGGCCAATCTATGCTTAAAAATGCCAATTTGGATCCTGAAAATGTCAGAAATGGATTAAGCATCCTCCATAACCTCCAAAGCCACTCCAAAATCGCGCAAGCCATTTTTTAACTATTGTCCACATAAGCTTTAATGCTACATTTCTAACACAAAACGTTGGGGTACTCAACATTTCCGGGTTCACAACAGGACTCTATGAGCTGACACCTAGACTGTTACCCAACAGCACTTTTACACTGAAGCTGCATTGGGTCACATTGGTGTTATTTTCCATCATTTCCACACTCAGTTTTTGAACATCATTGAACACTATGATGATGAGGATGATGATGCAGCACAGTGTGTGGAACCTGATTGAACTCAAAGTGGAGACTGTAAACTAAAGTGATGTGTACTTTGAATAAGCCTCCAGCAGACGGAGTGATCTGATTGGACCTTGAGCAAAGGTGTTTTCGTGATGTGTGATGATCTGCGGCCACAGCCTGCAGTCAGTAACGTGGTGTTGTATTATGGGCTGGAAGGAACAGCACATGAACCTCTCCATTGATGTCGTGAATGGACTCGCCTTTAGATAGAGCCATGACAACTGTGACTGAAAAAAAAAAAATTGCTCTTAGATGTGAATATGATTCCATGTTTGTACAGGGTGATGTGATTTTAAATGTGGATTTCTCTTTTTAAGTGGCGTTCATAGCAGACCGCAGCATGCACTACTATTATACTGGCCACTGAGTGTGGTCTGTGAACAAACGGGAGACAAAGTGAACAAGGAAGTCATGCTTCGGCCCAACACACACAACTCATTCCTTGAGCAACTGCCTTGAAAATTAAAGTGTTTTTTATGTCACCTATTTAATTTGAAATGGTTTTATATGAATTGATATAGAAATATACAGCTCTTGATAAATGAAGAGTTTTAATATTGACTTAAAAGAATCGTTGAGTTTTAGAATCCTGATCAAAAAGAAAGTGACCTCAGACCGGATGCCTTATTTCTAGCATGTTCAGTAGTTATCTATACGAAGTTTACTCTGTTCTACCATAGAGGAATATGGCTTCTCCTTTAAAAAAGAAAGAAAGAAAGAAATGAAGCCAGTGGCCCCAACACTAACTATTCAAAAAGGAAACAACATCAGCGGAATTCACGTTTGGTGTGGCTTGGGAAATGATTTTATGATGAAGTTAAAAGATAAGAGAGACTCCTGGTCTGAGAACATGTGTTAAATGGTTGTGAGGACCAACAATAACTGTCCTGATAAAGCTTTCTGGGACAGGGTGATCCAGGATCAGCTGCACAGTAAGTCTACAGTGGACACTAAATCTAACCTTTAAATAATATTATTTTGTTGCCTCTTTTAGATACATCACACCTTAGGAAACAATGGAACCAACTGATGTTAAGAGTGTTGTTTACACACAGCTTATTGCTAGAGTGGAGTAGGAATTAGTCCCAATATCCAGAAATGAGTTAGCATTTGATCACAATGTGTTTTTGGCTAGATGGCTGAAGTAAGGTCTACTATGGTTAACACAAGCCTACAGGATTTTCACGTTTTGTTCTACAACACTAAATACCCCATGTGTGAATATCCGAAGGCTATGTATCATAAAAACATCAGTTGCTAACAGGCCACTAAATAAAGTAGGAAATGTCATCACGCCGGATGTTAGCCATCTTTAGCTTAGCGGTGGTGACGTCAAGTCGTGACATTAGCATTAGCTTTTTGCATTTATGCTACGAAAAGCACAAAGGGGTGTTGATATGCGTTGCTGAATCATGCTGAACCAAAAGTGTAAGTATCATACACTTTTTCGTTTGGAATTGGGCCTTCCTTTGACGTCATGGATGGTTTTGCTCTGATGTGAGCCGTCATACAGACAGGTGAGTGCCTTTAACATCCAAACACCTGGCTTCCCACGGGTGGACTCAGATCAGCTGTATTAGCACGAGTAAAGTAAAAGTCTGGGATTCAAAATCTTAAAAGTACAAAAACTAAAAGTACTCATTATGCAGAAAGGGACACAATACTTTATCATTAGGTTGATCTTTAATGTGAACATTTAAATGTAGTAGCTGGTAAAGAAGGATTTCACCTTGATGACATTTGATAGCCTGGTATCCTTATTCATGATAGTACATCTTAATCTATCAGTGGCTCTATCTGGTATTACAAGATTGATGCAACACAAGTGACATTTGACCTCTTTAGAGAGATTTATAAAAATAAAAATAATATGAAATCTCCGGTTTTTACAGAAAAATGCAATGATGGATTATCAGTAATCCTTTCAAAGTGACACAGACACATTGGATTAACCTATGGATTAACCTTCAGTGGCGTTTTTATCATTTGAATGCCATTGAACACGACTATTGATCAGAATAACAGCTAATTTGAGACGATTTCCCGTGAATGTTCCATAATTCACGTGTTGTGACGTATGTGTTTGCTTCCCCTGTCACGGGTTCTGATCGCTCAGTGATGATACTTATACCTATAGAATCTGTGGAATCTCAGCTTTAATTTGATATCTTGTTTTTGCAGTTACGATAAGTAATAAGGGTATTTTTACCTTGAGTTCTGTGGTAAGTGTGTTAGCATTTTTTCGCTCAGGGCTCATTTAGACGCTTCTTGTGAGACTTGTGTTTTGTTTCGGTAAAAATGGTTCGTATTGTCAGTTAGCTGAGTTTCTTCCCGTTAAATGGGTATGACACATTAATAGGTTTTTAAATATTAAGAAGCCCTGAGACACAGTTTCGTGAAAAAACACCCCACTGCCCCCTGTACAGGGGGCTCTAGGGCTAAGCTGTTTCTACAACTAAGTGAAAGGAAAGTCCTCTCCTGTCAGATAACGTCAGCTCAGTGAGATAAAGGACTCTCTCAGTGTTTAGATTAACTAGTTAACTTTAGTCTAAGTTATCTCAGTGGGTCTCAAAACAGTTTGATCACCATTTATGTAAGTATTTCCGAGGCACACCTTCATATGATCATTATAGTTAGGCTATAAAACAATAAAAGAATAAATGAAAAACAGGTATGAAATACTATATGGCAGTAAAACAAGAATACAGTTTAAAAGGGGAGTGATTAGTAAAATATCCATAAAGAAAAAGAAAATCTGTTTACAGTTCTGTTTCATATGGGTGTTGAGAGAGGTATCCATAGATCTCTTCATGTTGCTCTCAAAGTGCACCAGATTGATGCTTTTAAAGGTAGGGTAGGTAAGTTTGAGAAACCGGCTTGAGATACACTTTTTGTTATATTCCATGGAATGCTCTTAACATCCCGATAGCAATGAATATCTTAAATGCTTTGACAAAAAGCATTTCAAATTCTAGCGCACTCGAGCTGGTTTCTCCAAAATTACCTACCCCACCTTTAACTTCAATAATTAAAAAAAAAAAACTTCCCGGGGGAGCATGCCCCCGGACCCCCCTAGGAGGCTGGTCCGCCCCCCACTTATAAAAAAATAGCACTTTACCCTTCCTATATGCCGTGAGCTGATTATCGAGCCTTCAAATTGTGAAATGTGTGGAAACAAGTATAAACATAATAACATTAAATACAAATGAAAGCAATAGACAGGAATGTATGCATATACAGTAGAAAGGACACGATGAATATTATAACATTTAATGTAGCCTTACTATGAAGGCTGACCTAAATACGGTGCTTTTCTACAGATTACCTTATCTGCACTGGTAAGGTAAAACTAGGCCGATTAATAAGATGTGAAGTGCTTTGTAACTTTAACCCGCTTGACTGAATACACAAAAAACAATGAAGAAAGTTGAACCAATAAACTAACAGAAACTAACTGTATCACTATAACATGATGATTATGGTGATAAAGAATGCATCTAACGTTCCGCTGTTCATTAAAAAAACAGCGCATTAAACAAACCATCATGCTCTTACTTTGAAAATCATGCGGAAATGTCGTCATCAGCAGGCCATCACGTGGTTTCCGAAAATAACCAAGTGACACGAGTAGATTTTAGCCGAGACCGGCGGAAAGTTTGTCTCAAAACTCTGTGTGTGTAAAAAGACGATCCACAAGCAGAGATTTGAGATCCACGAGCAGAGATTTGCGATCCATCCACGAGCAGAGATTTGAGATCCACGAACAGAGATTTGAGATCCATCCACGAGCAGAGATTTGAGATCCACAAGCGCATTTCTGGTCTACGCTCTCGCTGCTGCTGCGGTCGAGGATGATTGGGCAGTCCAGGAGGGTTACTCCGTGGACGAGGCCCTGGATTTCCTGGGTCCGAGTGGAGGGCACGAGTCGGATGACTACGTCCCCTCCATTCATGGATCACCAGGTGGTTCCCCCATCCTCTCTCTCCTCCGGACGGAGGAGACAGAGCGGGGTCCCGGTGTAGGTCCGGCACACGGACCAGTGGTCTCTCTCTCCGCCGTCATGGCTCTGCCGTCGATTGGCGGAATTCTCCAGGAACTCCCGGAGATCATCTCTAAGGCAGCAGCCTGGCGAGATCTCCCCGTTCCCCCAGCTCAGGAGAGCGCGTTTTCGGATGACATGTCCGGGGTGTTCTCCCAGGTACAGAGGGTCAAGAGTGACCCGATCTGGCCACGCTTCCCGCCCATTAGGAAGTACCAGGAGGGGGCGGCGGCGAACCCCAGGACACTGAGGGCTCCGATATCCACATACGCTCCCCTCACGAGGGTGGAGGGATTTACGGATAGGGGTTTTCCGACCGTGCATCCTCTGGAGCCGAGCCTCACGACGTTCTTTGGAGTTAAGCAGGCCAGCACGGTTGCCGGACGGCGACCCATGTTGACTGCCTCCAGAGATCAGTTTGTCGCCCGACAGACCGACTGGATGCACCAGTGTGCTTACCAGGCGTCAGCGGCGGCAAACAATATTGCGTTGCTGGTAAATTCCATGGTTCGTATAGCTGAGCAGTCCGACACCATGTCCTCAGTGGAGGCTGAGGAGATCGGTAAGGCGGCCAGCACTGCACTTACCCTGAGCGCGGCAGTCGCAGTTTCGCAGGCGCGGATTGCGACGTGGGCGACTCAGGTCCACCGGTACCTCTGGCGGACTGTTCGGACCTCAGTTCCACACCATGGTGGAGTCAATGAAGTCTGCATCTGAACAAGCAGACGACATACGACGTCACGTCGGCTGGCTTCAGCCGGACAAATGTCCCCAGCAACAGCAGCAACAGCAGCAACAGCAGCAACAGCAGCAACAGCAGCGACAGCAGCACCCGCAGCACCTGCAACAGTCTCAACAGGGGCAGCGCGGGCAACGGCGAGATCAGCAGCGGCGCCAGAATCGCCCTTCGGCGGCTACGGGGGCACCGTCCCATATCTCTGCTCCTCCGCCACAGAGACAGAGGCCGTTTCTCAATCGCGAGGATATTGGCTTCCAAGCCAATATTTCAAGGATGCTACGTCATCAAGTGGCGCAGCAGGACCGTTCCAATGTCCAGCATACTTGGAATTCCACCGAGGCCGCGTCCTTGGTTTGGGGGAAATTTCGAGGCTGCACATGGGTAGACTTCGCGTCCTTAAAATTCCCACAATGCTTTGCGCACGGACCAATTTCCCCAAATCTGTGGCGGAAAATGTAAGGCGGGGCCTCTCATATGACGCACACCTGCACACTTGCTAGCCTGTTCCACTCTTCATTTTCCGAATGCCAGGAAGGATTCTTGCCTAGCTTCTGAAGGAAGTGACTCGGAAGACATGTGCTACCAAGCAAGCGTACTCGCGATTGAGAAACGGCCAGAGTCTCCAGGCGGCGAGTCGGAGAGGAACGAAGAACCCCCGCTCCTGGTCTGCTCCTCCGAGAGAGCCTCCGAGGAAGCAGAGCCGAAAGT